TACATAGTGAGTTAATGAAAAGACCATGGCTTGGCTCAGATTCACCTTAATCTTCAAACTGACATCATTGTTTCTGAGTAATTTGGAGAGGTCCCTGACAGCAGACTTGCCAATACATTATATTTCCTTATTTCCTGACTGATGGTTTCAAGGGTGTTGATTGTAGATCCAAGTAAAATAGTTGACAATTTCAATCATTTCTCCATCTATCATGTTGCAGATAAGCTCATGTTTTTATAAGGCAGCAAAACCTAGAAGGGTTTAAGAACTTCCTTCCCTCTGTAACTTGATTTGTGCCACTGTTAGAACCTCTACTTGGAATATTAGTGCTTTTAATTTTTGACTCATGTACTTTTAACTTGTTAGCTAAATTTGTGTCTTCTAGGCTGCAACAGTTTCATGATGCATCTTCAAAGATATGAACATGTATGGCTAAGCACAACTGATAACAGTGCAGCTAAATTCCAAAATCAATCTATCCCCACAATAGTCTACATGTTTCCTATTGCCAAAGGGGCCCTTTAGGGTTGTGAGAGAAGATCCTCACCCTGAAACCTACAGCGTTCTTTTTCAGCAGGAAGTAGCTAAGAGAATACGCTGTCTCCTTTTCCTTATGAATCAGGATGAAATCTCTCTCAGGGAGGAGTGATAGGGAATGGCAAAGGACACACTGACAAAGGAGATTAATCAGAACTGGTTTTAACGAGCACTGTCGCAATGGGACAATTAAAACAAACTTTCAAGGAATACTCAACCTGAATCCTTCTGATCATATGGAGATTTTTGAAAGTATTTCTTTATTAGGTTTAGTTTGTTTTATTTGTTTGTTTGTGTATAAAGGATGCTCACGTAGATGATAACATAATTTGATAAAAACAAAAGGGAGGAAATATGGGAAGCCAATACTAAATATTTGTAATAAACTGAATTCTATTTAAATTACAAACAAACAAACAAACAAAAACCTAGAAGGGGAAGGGCTCTTTGTTCCCTTGGTCCCAAACCACAAGGAGGTCAGGTGACAGAACCATCCTTGATTCTTAAGGAGTACCCTATCTATCTCTTCTCCCCCTTCTAACCATCCTTTCTTCACCTTTGCCCTTTGTTAATGCATGCTTTATTTTTACTAAATAACAAAGTGCAGAAAATCTCTTAGCCCTAACAAAATCTTCTTCTGCCTTAATTTTCATTTTTGCTTGTCATGTCAGCCTTTCCTAAATGACAGTCACTTGGGCCCCACCTATTCATAGGATCTAGCTAGTCTCCTTGCAAGCTGTGAAGAGGTTCTGAGAATTGCAATCTTTAGCACATCTTACCTTTGACACAGGAATTAACTATTTTGATGTCTTCCCGCCTTAGAAATCCGGCAATTTACTACAGAGGTCTGTTTTTAGCCATCTAGGACAGGTCATGAGAAAACCCCAACTTCTACTCTTATACAGTTGAATGCCTTTGCTTATGCAATAAAGGGATCTCTGGTGGTCTAATGGTAAGAATCTTCACTGCAGTCCCAAAAGCATGCGGTTCAAACCCACTGTCTACTCCTCAAGAGAAGGATGGGCAATCTCCCCTGTGATTACTGCCTCTGAAAACCCATTGGAGGGTCAGCTATGGGTCGGTTCCAACTCAATGGTACACAACAACAATAACACATAAATGACTCTGTAACCAAATCAGTATAAAATAAAACCAAAAAAATAAAAGCCACACCAAATCCAGGTGAATGTCTAACATTTTCTGCTTTGATCCAAAATCTAGCTGACCACAGCAATGATATTACTTGTTCTCCGCCTTCTTAGGAATATAGTTTGAGTTTATGGTCATTTCCTGTAGCCAGATATATTACTCTAGTTGGTTTTTAAAATTAACTTCAGGAAGAGTTTACTTGTATATAATATTAAAACACTTTCGTATATTGAAAATTATTTTAACTTTTAACTATTTGTAAAATTAACTGAGGAGCCTTGACGGTTTAGTGGTTAAGTTCTCGGAAGCTGAGTGAAGCGTCAGTGGTTCAAACCAACCAGCTGCTCTGCAGGAGAAAGACGGGGCCATCTGCTTACACAAAGGGCACAGCCTTGGAAACCCTGTGGGCGGTTCTGCTCTGTCCTACAGGGTCGCTGTGAACTGGAACTGACTCACTAATAATGGGGTAGTGTTTTCCTAATGGGAACCACAAAACTCTCTGTAATCCAGTGGAAAAAATCTTGAAGGAATAAATTAACCATCTTTCAACTCCTTAATTTTTTATTCTCTTTCAAAAATAAAACTTCAAGAGAACAACCAGTTAAATAAGATGATCACAGCTGCTGACTAAAGGGAGACCAATTTGCTCTGGTGCAACACTGGCCACAATCTCACTCCACAGGAATGTGGAGGGAACCAGGAAGCCCGCAGCCCAATCCCAGGGGCTTCCCTCAAGTTCAGCCTCTCTGTAGGATCTCAGTTTCCCTACTAGTGGGTTAACAGTGTTCTTCCTTCTTCTGTCTTGCCAAGCCCACTGGAAGGCAATGAAGGTGTGTGGTTTAGGGGCTGTTTTTATTTAAATGAAGGAAACTGTGATCCTTGTGTGATCATTGAGAGCTCCTGATTTTGTGAGGAGACTAGTATATGAAGCATGGTTGGTAAACCAATGGGCAACTGGGAAAGGTTGCAGAGGAGAAAAACAGCTGAGCTGAGATGCCATAATGGATGTGAGCTGTCTGGTTAGAGACAGAGTTAGTGGTGCCCCTGGGTAAAGAGCAGATGAGCACAGACAGGAAGATGGGTAGTGAGAAAGGAGAGGTTCAAGATTATGACAAACAAGCTGGGCAGCTGACAAATCTGGTGGGAGGGAAGCCTAGCCCAGGCACACTAAGGAATCCACACTCACCTTTACACAACCGGGGAGCCAATTCATTTACATCATAGTCTCCCTCCAACATTGGAGTCAAGCTGCACACACAACCTCACCTCATAGTCATGCCACTCATAGCTGGCTCTCCAGTGGAGTTTCACAGGCGAGGAGATTGTGCATCTCTCTCCCATGGATCAGCTGGTAGATTCAAGTCACTTCCTTTTGAGTTGGCTGCACAACTCCTTACCCACTAGGCCAGCAGAGCCTCCTGGCAGGCCATCCCGATGGATCCAGTTTCTCTTCCTTTTCATCTAGTCCTGTCATGCCCCATGGGGTATACTGGTCCACCTATATGTGCTGCTTCTGGGGGGCTAGTGGGAAGCTGTTATCCCACTTACAGTGTGTACTGCCATCTGGTGGAGGGGCTGTATAACTGTGTGAACATGTAGAAACACACCTCATATTCCAGCAATTTCAGTACAAGAGACTCTTCAGGACATATGAGTTCCCCTAACTGTATTAACTGAGCTCCGGTTGTTTAGTGGTAAAAAGCTGTTCTACCAACCCAAAGGTGTTCAAACCCAACAGCTGCTCCATGCAAGAAAGACGGGCAATCTCTGCCCATTAATGGAATGCTCCTGAAAGCCCATAGCAATGTCAGCTATGGGTCCATTCCACTATCACAATATATAATAACATAGCAACTGCATCAAAATTACCTTAAAAAACTGTTTTCATTTCTATTCAAAAAAGCCTTCCATTATCAAGAACACATCATTTCAACCAAAAAACACTCAAAGCAAAAAAATAATCAGGTCTTCAAAGGCCTCCAAGGTAGGGGCAGAAATTTTGCTCTGACATCCCCGAGATTAGCTTGCATGGCTCCCAGGATGTGCATCAACAACCAGCTAGTGAGTCTGGGCTTTGGTGGTATTATTATTAATTTATTATTATTGTTGTTGTTGTTGTTACTGAAGAGGCAAAAACAAGCAAGCTGACACTGATACAAATAAGGACTTGAATAAATAAATAAATGAGAGCAAAAAGGAAAAAAAAATCAGGTCTTTTAAAACAAAATTGTCCAGGTTTTTACAGCACCATTATAAAACCTAGAAAAAAGTTATCTTAATAAATAATTTTGAGGATTAGTCAAAGACTTGTTATGAGAGTAGTAAGGTATTCTAAAAGCAGTGTATACAAAAGGCTTCTGATTTTCATGAAAGATACTGAATGGGATCCTGTACCCTGTGATTCTGACTCACAACAACGATGCAGGACAGATCACCATCTCAGAGTTTTCCAAGCTACTGTTTTTGTGGAAGCAGACCACCAAACTTGCTTCTGCAAAGCGCATGGTGAATCTGAAGCACCAGCCTGTCAGTTAACAACCAAGTACTTAACCATTGAGTCACCAGGGCTCCTTCTTCTGCAAAGCTATGTTAGTTGTTAGGTACCATCAAGACGGAACCAACACATTGTGGACCCTCCAGTGGGTCTCCAGAGGCAGTGGATTCCACAGGAGGAGAATGCTCACCTTTCTTCAAGGAGCAGCTGGTGGATTTGAACTGCATGCATTCAGGCTGGCAGCATAGCTCTTTACCACAAGACTGCCAGAGCTTTATAAACCTATAAGTGTGAAAATTATAAAGCCAAAAACTTAAACCTACTGCTACTGAGTCAAATATAACTCGTGGCTACCCTCTATCAGGTTTCCAGGGCTGTAAATCTCAACAGGAGAAGATGGCCCAACATTCTCCCTCAGAACAACCAGTGGACTTGTATCAATAAACTGTTGATTAGCAGTCATGCACATTAAGCACTTTACCAGCAATTCTCCCTGAAAATTAGAACCAGACACTATCTTTTATGTAGGGAGCTCTGGTGTCATAGTTCATAGGGAGTTGCACAGCTGACCTCTCTAGTGGTTTGAATTATCCCCCACCCCCCAGAGAAAGATGGACAACCTCTCATGTGATCAATGCCTTACAGCCTTGGAAACCAAGGGGGAGCAGCTGTGGGTCCATTCCAACTGCACACCAGGTACATACAGTAAGGATATTTTATATCCCCTCAAAATAAAGTTTTTCTTCCTGGCTCCAATAAAGCCTGGCTCTGAGCTCCCAGGAGCTGTCAATGGATCTGAAGCAGAGTCTCCCCCACTCACCTGTGCTCAGCTGGAACAGGCGGAGGCCACACTGCTGGGTCCCGGAAGGGCTCGTCTTGATAGGACACAGGAAATTCGGGGGGCTTGTCGATTTTAAAACTTTCTAAAGTGCTGACAATGCTTTTAACTTGTTCATATTCTTCCAGTAACTCCTGCTGAACCTTTAAAGCCACAGCCTTTATGTTAGAAACAGTACAAAACTTATCTAAATTGTATATCATAAACTGCTCTCTAAAGTGGAAATGTTCTTGATGTGGTTCAAAACATTCAAAATGAGTCATTCCAAGAGTCAAAACCTTTCAACTATTTACAATATAACTGATAGCAATGTGAGGATTGATTGGGGGAGAAAGGTATCATTTTCTATCTTTTCAGATGAAAAACAGTCATACCTTTTCATAATAAAACTATTATTACCAAAGAACATGTCACCATTAATGTGCTTGATTTAAATCAAGCAACTGAAAAATAAAACAAGCAATTAAGTCAGTAACCAGGTAACAAATTTCCAAAAATTCTATTGCCTCAAGTCCTTTTAATACATTATAAATAGTAAAAATAATAAATAAAATTTTTTAAAAACCCATTGCCATAAATCTATTCCAACTCACAGTAACCCTCCACTGAGTTTCTAAAGCTGTTAATCTTAATAGGAAAGCATGGTCATTTTACGTCCACAAATCTACTAGTGGATTTGAACCACCAAACTAAGTTTAGTCAATAGCCCAAATGTTATAGACTCAAAAAAATCATCAGTCAAAAAATTCTCACCAGCTTTCCCCTTTACCGGTATGACAGAATGGTAAACACGCGCCATGAGCCTGGAGAGCTGGCGGCAGTCTAGTACCATGGGTCACACCGATTTACATTTCTGTTCTCCTCCACTCAGTGGTTTCTCCCAGTTCTGGGTGAAGTTTAAATGTAATTGAGTGTGAAGTTCTTGTGTTTTCAGACTTTGGACCCAAACATGTTTTCAAAGGGAAGCCAACAACAGGTTGAAAATTACATTCATAACTTCATGGTAACAATTCTATTTTTTAAAAAGTAAGTAAATAAACAAATAATAAGCACATCTAAATATGAATCAAAGCATAAAAATCTTGTCTTTAATCACATTCTGGAAAGAAATATATAAAAATGTTATAAGCGTGGAAGATAATAAATACACTACGTGGTGGTGTAAACCATTACATGTGGAGCTGCTAACAAAAAGATCAGCAGTTAGAATCTATAAGCTGCTCTTCAGCAGAAGATGGGCAGTCTCCTCCCATAAAGATTTACAGCCTGGTCGACCAGTTCTTGGAGAAGGACTGCCCATCACACTTGGAAGAGTGAAGGGTTAGCACAGGAGAGGAAGACCCTGTATGAGAAGGATTGACACAGTGACTGTGGCCAATAGGGTCAGATGTGTCAGAGATGGTGAGGCTGGCGCAGGACGCTGTTCACTGAGTCGCTACGAATCACAATCAACTCAACGGCACATAACAACAAAACCAGACAATGCTAGGTTTCCATGAGTCAGAATCAACTCTACAGTAGTGAGATTTATTATTCTGGTGGCCTGGTGGTAAGGAGTTACACTGTCGACCCAAAGGCAAGCAGTTCAAATCTACCAGCTGCTTCTTGGGACAAAGATAATGCAATCTCCTCCATGCAATTAGCTGCCTATGAAAACCCACTGAAGGGTCAGCCATGAATCAGTTCCAACTCGATGGCACACAACAACAATAATTATTGTAAATAATAGTGTATTTATTAAGAATAATGTGTCCAGGTAAAATTCAATTCTTAATATATGCAATTATAGACTACAGTGTAACAAGAGAAATGAAATTTCAGAACTTAACGAAAATCAACATTGAAGAATTATCTAAATAGAAAGTTCCACTATCTAATACATATAATTAAGAACATGTCAAAAATATTTCTATGATCCACCAGCCACTCCTGCCTGTGACAGTACAAAGGACTGGAGAGAGAAACAACTACAAATGTTGGCTCGAGTTAGAACAAGTACGTTGTCTCACTTAATACAATTTGGAAACACTTAAGTTAGAAAACAAGTCAGATTTACCCTCCAAACTCGGAAAAACATCAACTTTGGCCGTGTGGAAAAATCAGAGGAAAAGCCTAAGAGACATTAGTACGTAAAACAGAAACTTCAAAGGCATGCTTGACTTTGTACTTTTAATTTTTAAAAGATTTTAAGGACAAATGGGGAAATGGCCATTCGAGCTTTTATTAGCTGCCCTGTTGTGAAAGCCAGCTGCAGAGCCCAGAGACAGAACAAGCAGAGGAGTGCTTTTTATTAAATCAGGGCCCTTTTGTCTGCGGAGGGAGGCTGTCAAAGGGTGAGGCAAGTTCCTTACGGGAACAGCTTTCTGAAATGGGTCACAACTACACGGAGACATGGAGGGGGAGGGAGGAGGAGAAATTAGGGAAATCCAAACAGAATTACAAATAGACTTCACCATAACTGAGCATCTTGAATCTGTCTCATGATATGTATGCTCAGACCTACTAAATGCAATCACGGAGTCATGAGAAAATTGTTCTGACACAGTGCAAGGAGTCGGTTCCACCACTGGGTTTCTGAGGTGGTAAATCTTAATCTTTCCCCCACTGAACAGGTGATAAGATTCAAACCACCAACTTTTGGTTAGTTGTCCAGTACATTACACATTTCTACTAAACAGAAGTTCTGTTTTTGGGTAAGCAAACTCTCACACTACTCTCTCCCGCTCTGGCCTGTTGGGTGGAAGCCGCTCTGTCATCTCTTACCTGATGCCACTTGCCTTTGAGGGCGGGGTCCCTGACCGCCTGGCAGTGCCGCTGGATCTGCTGGATGACCCCCTGGTAGTACACCATGGACGAGTCGTAGTTCCCCAGGAGGGCATACTCGCGCCCTTTCTTGGCGTTGTCGCAGATCTCGGCCAAGTTCATTTTCGCTCAGAGACCTGTACAGGAAACATGATGATTTATTTAAAAAAAAAAAGTTTTAAAATATTTTCTTAAAACAGTAGCTTGAAAACACCTTGGTCAGCAAAATGGTTATCTGAAGACATCTTAGGATACTGAACAAGGAACAAAGGAGAAGAGCCCCAGAGAAGACAAGAAGGAGCAACGTCACACCACTCTGCTGATCTGTGTTAAATGAAACTGATGCCTTCAACTCCTGACTTATTGTCAGAGCAATACCTACTGCCATCAAGTTGATGCTGCCCCCTAACAGCCCTCCACTGGGTTTCTGGGGTTATGAATTTTTACAGGAGCAAACTGTCCATCTTTCTCCAAAGAGCAGCTGTTGGGTTCCAATCAGCAACTTTTCCATTAGCAGCTGGACACATGAAGCAGTTAAGCCACTAGAGCTCCTCGTGCCATTAAGTCTCTCTGAGACTCACAGTGCCGAGACACAACAGCTCTGAAGCAGGGTCTGCCTCTATCTTGAGCCAGCCTGTCTCTGACATATCTACTGCCATTACCCTGTCACTGTGTCTATCCATCTCATCCAAGGTCTCCCTCACCTGCACTGACCACCATTCCAAGGACCTGTCCCTCCTGGCCACATGCTCAAACTATGTGAGAGAGAGCTTCAAAATCCTTGCCTCCAAGAAGCAACTTTGTTTCACCTACAACAAAAACAGTGAGTTCCTTGGTAGTAACCCTAAAATTCAGAATAAAAATGCTCCACAGACTCTATAAGGCTACTATCTTCACAGACTGGAGTCTGGGTGGCATAATACAAAAGGTCAGTGGTTCAAGTATGCCAGCAGCTTCACGGGAAAAGATGGCCGCTGTTCTTTATGATTTACAGCCATGGAAATCTGATGGAAGTGTCACCATGCATGAATGGAAACCTATTCTACATCAGTGGTAATCTTTACTGCCACATCTTCGTTCCAAGGAGTGACTAGAAGGTTCAAACACTCATCTCTTGGTTCAAAGACTAGCACTTTAATCACTGTGCTCCCAAGGCTCTTGGTACACACATACATATATACTGGACACTAGCTTCCCTTAATCATTTATCATCACTTAAGCTCCAATAATAAAGACAACCCAGCTTTATAGTTTACTCATTTTTAAAAATAGCAATTTAAGAATGAATATGTGAGCATCTCATTGTCTTTTTTTTTACTGAGCTCAATTAAAATTGCAGAAATTAGTTCACACTAGAATGTTCTGGTCTCTAAGACGAAAAGTTAATACTTAAGGAGTACATTTTGAATGAACAAGGAGCTCCATTGGTATACTGAGTTATGTATTGGGCTGAGAACTAAAAAGTTCAAATCCCCCAGCTGCTCCCTAGAATGATGAGTAATTTCTTCCCATAAAGATTTATTTATAGTCTTAGAGCCTGAGAGTCACCGCAAGTCATAACTGACTCAGGACACTGTCTTGGGCTTGGATTTTTTCAGAAAATCCTGCCAGTCAGTAAAAGCTTTGTAAATTAAACCACATAAGCCCTTTTTGTCCCTCCACCTGCAATCTTTAGGCTTTATCATGCTCTCCAGCTCTTTGGCTGTGCAAGCCACCACCATCACTCCTCTCCTCCTCTCCATCTATAAGATGCTAACTAAGATGAACTCTCTCAGAAACCTTCTCCCTTTCCACCAATGCTCTCCAGCCACTAATGCTAGCCTTCTTCCAGGGCAGTTAGAGGTCTTCTGGAAGGGCAGAAAGCTCCTCTGCATAGTTCCCTCCTTCTTTAAGAGTGTCTAAGAGGAAGGGCAGAGATGCAGTCGGTTAAGAACGTAAACTTCTGTCCCTGGAACACGGAACCACCGTTAGTAATAATCCTAAGCAACAGCACAATAGATGGAGAGAATGAAGTCGGCAAGGGTTCATTTCATTTGGATGCACTATCAATCAATGACCATGGAAGTAGCTGTCAAGGATCAAATAATGTATTGCACTGGTGAATCTGCTGTATAGAGATCTCTTGAAAGGGCCCAAAAGCAAACAAGTCACTTTTAGGACGAAATGTGACCAACCCAAGCCATATTATTTTCAATCCCCTCACAAGCATGACTGAAAATAAGAAGCCCAAAGAAGAAATGATGCCTTTAAATTATAGTTTCGGAAACAAATTCTGAATAGATCATGGATTGCCAGAGAACCAACAAATTTGTCTGAAAAGAAGTACCATGAGAACATTCCTTAGATGTAAGGATGTGCAAGGCTTCATCCCATGTATTCTGGGCATGTCCTTAAGAGTGGTCTATTTCTGGAGAAGGGCATCCTGCTTCCTAAAGCAGAGGTGACTCACGAAGAAGTTGTATTACACTGAAGCTACAGCGATGGGTCCAAGCAGTTGATGGTAAGGACAGTAAAGGGCTGGGCAGGGTCTTTTGTTGGAACCAACTCCATGGCACCTACCAACAACTTATACACTGAGATTTTATTTTTTTTAAGAAAGACAGCATTATGATGGGCATGGTTTAATGGTGAATGATTTCATAACACAATGAATTTGAATGATTGTATGAAATACAATGTGAAGAAAGGATAGCATGAAACACAATGTATATGAGCTTTGTACATAAACTAATGTAAAATTTAAAAAATATTAAGATATTAAGTCAGCGGGTGTGCGGGTGCACATGGTGCGTGCACGTCGCGTTTCTGGACCCTGTTTGCGCGATCTCCTGCGCAAATGGGCTTCGTGGCTTAGGGGCTTTTTTCCTCCCTCCCGGTGTCCTGCCATCCGTGATCGCGCCGAGGCCCAAGGGGTCGCTGCCGAGGTTTCCACCAAGCCACAACAAGAGTATGGCAACCAGCCCCTCCAGCGGTTCGCTTGTGGCCACCCACAACTACTACTGGCGTCGTCTGGGATCCACTTCCAGTAACAGCTTCTGTGGAAGCACTGAGTACCTGGGGAAAGCCATTCCCCACTACCCAGGGCTCCCCAAGGCTGACCCGGGCCACTGGTGGGCCAGCTTATTTTTCGGGAAGACCAGTGTCCCATTCATGGCCACTGTGTTGGAGTCCCCAGAGCGCTTGCGAGCCCAGGCCTCTGGCAGTGTGGTCGCCTGTGACCTGGCCCAGGGCAGCACAAGGAAGCAGCCTGGCAGCACCCAGGCGACGCTGGCCCCAGGCTCCTCTTGAAAGGGCACCGACACCACCACCACCCACCACCACCACCAACCCCTTCCTGAGGGGCTTCTGTCAGCACCTCCCTGCCCCACCCCATAGACTAGGCAGGTGCACCAAGTGCAAAAGTGGGTGGTTCTTTCTATTTCAAAAAAGCAAAAGACCAAAAAGTTGAGAGAACCACATTCTTTACTGCCTAATCACACATGAGCTTTTTGAATATCCATAGCTGTTTTATCCACCCCAAGTGGAAATAAACTTGAAGCCACCAAAAAAATAATATTAAGATATAATGAGTTTTAGTAATAAATAAAACTATTATAACAATAATTCAGTACTCTTTTTTGTAATACAAGTCTATATAAGAAGAACGGAATTCTTTTTTAAGAGATAACATTTGACTTAATTGGGGTTCAAATTAGCCTTCCCTGGCATCAAAATCAACTGCATACTGTTCACCTTTTGATGCATATCTATGAGATTTTACATATTTCATCTGTAAAAGTCACTTTCAACAGAAAAACCAAATAGCAAACTTACTGCTGTCAACCCTCCACTGGCTTTCGAACACTATAAATCTTAACAGGAGGAAAGTAACCATCATTCTCCCAAAGGGTAGCTGGCGGATTTGAACTACTGACCTTTAATTTAACAGCCCAACAGTTTAATTCACTATACCACCAATGTGCCTTTTCACCAGAGCTCATCGCCATAGAGTCGGAACCAACTCATAGCTGATCCTCCAGCGGGTTTTCAGAGACTGTAAATCATACAAGTGGAAATTGCCCATCTTTCTCCCTCAGAGCAGCTGGTTGATTTGAACTGCCTGCCTTTGGGTTGGCAGACCAAATCCCAACCCACTAGGCCACCAGCATCCTTTTCACCAGACAGGTTCTGCTTAATACTGCTATAAATCCACAAGTATATCATTTCAATTTAGCACGTTCACTGCTTGATAGGCTTTTAAGGAATCTACTCTTCTGATCTTTGCCTTGTACCATGTCATTACATGGGAGATTAATCACTTCCAGTTGAAAGTCAGTCCTTCAACTGAACACTTAAGTGGACTCTATAACATGGAAATTGCCTTAGCAGTTGCATCAAAGTCTGAAAAACGCCATTAAAACTGTTGTTTGCACTCTGAAAATAGTCTACCGCAAACCTGATGGGGATGGAGATTTCATTTCAGGTTTTGAACTTCTGACAACAAAAAAGCTGGTTAACTCAGCCTGACATTACCTGTGATTCAAATATTACCAGTTGTCATCCAAATGGCATCACTGCTGTATTAGTTTTACATAGAAGTATTGTTTGGACTTGTAATTGTAGGTGAAATTCATTAACAAACATCAACAAGTCTACAGCAAATGCTAATTTCCAAAGCTTTTAGACATTAAATCACAGTATTTGAAAGCACTACTTGCCCAAGTGGAAATATTTCCATCTTAGCCCTGAACATTAAAAAAAAAAAATCTAAAAATGCTACAGAACTGCTTTGTGGTAGGACAAGTAAGGACAGTTGGCTTCTATTTCTGACAAACACTGGTAGCACTGACAAGGGTTCAGTTCACAGAATGAAGGAAATTGCTGTAGACGAAGCCTATATATCACATGACAGACATTCTCTCAAGTGCCTGCTGACGAATAAAACACTGTACATCTTCCCAAGCTGTGTAAATTTGTCAGCCAAGCTTTCGTTCCACTCAAATTTTTACCACCATCAGTTATAGCATACCTTAGCAGGTTCCACTTCAGGTTTACTGAGTTACAGCTTTCTCACACCCATATGCCCTGGTGGTATAGTGCATAACATACTGGGCTGCGAACCAAAGGCTATCAGCTGGAGTCCA